CCGACTCCTCAGAGTCAGGGTATCCAGGAGGGAAGCTGACGTACAAGAAAGACTTCATCTAGCTGTAGGAATCTGGTTTAAAACAATTAATTCTCTCTCACAAACTCAGCACCATTTACAATATAAGTTTTCTGTTGTTATTCTGAACTTGCTGAGCCATTACTAACGTGATAATTTCCTGCTAACATTTTCTTTTAACACTCCGTGTGCCACACACTCACCTTCTTTGGGCTGCGGACAGAGATGCCGACAGCCCAAAGCCACACCACAAGCGCTACCCACTGTGAGGTCATTCTTTGGCAATGCCGTTAGCACCATTATGGACTACCTGCATTTTGTTACTGAAAGCAGTCTACAGTAAAGATGTAAGCCACGTCTTTGTACCTTAGGGGAAAAAAAAAAAAACCAAAAAAATCCCCCCAAAGCCCTAGATGCACCAGCATTTATGGAGTTAAAGCAGGCGTGCCTCAACACTTCTGATCTAATTACAGTTTCCACCTTTCACAAGGCTTTTTTGTGTGTGTGATGAAAACTGAGCTGTAAAATAATTGAGGTGGGGATTTAGAGATTTGGTACAACAAACCTCCTCATAAAAATGGCACAAAGGGACCTTTTTTTTTCTTTTGCTGTTCTCACATATTAAATCTTATTTGATCGATTTTACTGTATTCCAAGTTACAGGCATAAGGTAGACTGCTGTAATTATAGTTTTATTGATTACTCATTAAGTTTTAATCAAGCAATTGCAATAGGGAATGGTTATTATTTTGTCCCTATTCTTCTCACTTTCTAGGCCTGAGTCGGTGACACAAAGTAACTCCAGGCAGAGCTGATAATTAGAACCACCACAAATTATAGCTTCTACAACAGCATCTTTCCAGTACTGTCATTATTTTCTCACAAGTCAAGTTTTTGACAGCATTTCGTCCATGAGTTATTTTTCTGTCATTTACATGGCTTTTGTGTCACTGGTACAGTCAAGAATTACAAATATATTTGCTTTTATTTCATTATATTTTCCCTGTGAAAATTCTTAAGTCACCTCACAAAAAAAATTAAGCCTTTCTGCTTTTCTGATTGGTATCCATATTCTCCTAAAACTACAATACAAAGTTTACAGACCTAAAGCCAGAAACAAAATCTTATTAGGAAAAATTTAGTAACTAATGATCCCTGATCTTATTTACCAACATGTGCACACACAGAAACAACACATGTAGGAGAAAAACATGTAGGAATGACAGTCACTGGGCAGGAAACAATCCATTCCTCTGTGCAGATTTCCAGCCACATGGTGCTGGGGGTTTTTCACTGAATTTTACCTTAAGTACCTGCAGGGTGGTTCAGGAGAAAACCCTGGTGGTTCAAGGATTTCAGAACTGAAATCAACCCAATTTTCTTGAGTTTACAAAATGCTTCAGTTTATTTTAAATAAAATAGGATGCACCAACCAGGCACTGAACGAATGGAACCTAGAAATTACTATCACCACTAACCTGGCCCGTTTTAATTTTTCTTGATACCTAAGAAATACTACATAGCAGGGACAAGGGAATGGCTGTAACCCTAAGACCTAAGCAGAGCAGGGATAGGTTTTTTCTAAGGCTAAATAATCCCAAGCCTAGACCCTTTACTATAATCTATATCTCTGGTGTCCAACCCCCATATACTTAGCATATATGCAGACCCCCTCAAGATTATGTTATGAGGTTCACAGGCAAATCCATCAGTTACATAAGAAAGAGGCAACATTTTTTCTCAGACCAAAACACAAGCCTCATTTGACATGAGAAATTAAAGAGCTGCCACGTGTGAGCCCCTCCCCCACTACTCCCCCCCCACCCCCCCACCTCCCAGGCGCACCACTTTGAATTTCCTGGCAAGTCCTCAGGAACACAGGGTTTATGAATGCAAGAAAGCCTTTCCTTCAATGTGACAAACTAGCTTTCAGGGAGGATGATAACTGGAGTGAATAGCAGGGAAAATGGGGGAAAAAATACTTTGTTTGCTTTTTTCCCCACAACGCACTGAGATGAGCTTTAAACAAACACTCAAAACACACTGCATTTATGATAGTTCACTTAAAAGGAGGCAATGCAACATGAATCCTAGTGAACAGAAAAAAAGTCTGCCTGGACAGAAATTTCAAAAACTGAGACATTAAAACCATAACACGTTAAAAACACAAGACTTACACTATTTTAATATGTACCTCCCCCCAAAAAAAAGTTCAGTAAATTACTAATTACAAGACAAAAATATAAACAGATATAAACCTAAGTTAATGAGGGAAAATATGAAGCAAAAATTGCTTTTAAATTGAAATTGAACAAGTTTGCAAATTATAATTTAGGGACTAAAATGTTTACATGTAGGATAATTGTGACGCTACTTGCCTAACCACTTAGCAGAACTGCATATCCCAACATTTAATTATTTTTGGCAGCTACTCATAGAAAAACACCTCCTCTGTTTGCTACCTTAAAAAATTATTCTATAAAGTTACGTGAGACTTATTCCTATCACTTTTACTACTGAAATCGGTGTGAAGACCATTTATTTTGGAAATTCCATAGCTCTGTGACAAGCCAACTAGGACTCTGGCAAAGTCATCTTAAAACTGATGTCAAAAGGAAGTTTTCTCCCAAATGCCACGGCAAAAGACATATTTAGTGTCTCTCAGGTAAATTCGTTTAGACATTTCTCTCAAGCAACTATAGAGGTGATTTCTTCAATCAAAAATTCTATTTTACGGTAATGAACCTATAAAGTTTTTTATTCCCTAGAAATGTGAAAACCAAATGAAACGCTGAAATGTCTCAAAGACTTTCTGCCAGATCTTAGCCTCCAGCTCTGTCAACTAGACTAATCTCAGCTATATGCCCAACCCAAGGCTGACACCCACCCTACGGCAAGGGCCTCACCCTGGCACCAGCCCCAGGCAGCCTTATCTCACCTGGCCACCCAAGGCAGGCACCCACCTTAAGGCATGGGCTTCACTCTGTCACCAGACCCTACTGCAAAGCCATTAGGGGCTCTGAACTATCTCTGTGATCAAACAATTTCTTCTGCCTGTCACTGAAAGCCCACAATTCAGTTCCCACCTACATTTCCAGCCTGAGTTGTTACTGCTCTCAATCACACAACTGACCAAATGAACTCCTCTCTGGGCACCTCCCTGCAGGTATTCCATCTCTCCCGTGCCTCCCCCACGGCTACGCGCCCTGTGCCTGGGCAACACAGGCACCTGCCTCTCTCTGGGGGAAGTGTTAGCTTCCTTTGAGGCGGAGCTCAATTCAGCTCAACAAGCAGCTGGGTGTCTCCTGGGTGAGAGGCACCGCGGAAGGGCTAACGCTCCTCTGCCCCCCAGTCATTAGTATTCTCTTCCTCCTCCAATGACTCGCTCATTGCCTGCTTTGTATGCCCGTTGTACCCCCAGCAGAATGTGTGATTCCCCAGGGGGGCAGAGTTCCATCTGCGCCTTGGATCCTAGGGACCAGCACAGTGACAGTGAAAACGAAAGGGGTGAGAGGCATCAGGCTGCATCTCTGTCTGACTTTTCCCTTTCTCCTTTCCAGTGGTTTTATGCTGTGGTCATGCTTCCCCGGGGCACCTTTTCATCTAAAACATCACCTGATATCAACTGCTTTACATTACATTTCTCTAAAGAAAGGATCTCTATGTTCTAAAACGTTTATAGCAGCTTTCTCTGTTGTGGCAAAGAACCCTGGAATTGCAGGGATGCCCATCAACTGTGCAATGGCTGAACAAGCTGTGGTATATGGTTGTGACAGAACACTACTGCACTGTAAGAAATGATGAGCTTGAAGCTCTTAGAGAAACATGGAAAAACTTGCATGAAATAATGAAAGCGAAATGAGCAGAACCAAGAGAACATTGTATACAGGAACAGCAATATGTTTTAAGAATGACTTTGAGCAAATAAGTTGTTCTGAATATTATAAATACCCAAATTAACTATAACGGATGTACAAAGAAGGATGCTATCTGCACCTAGAGAAAGAACTGATAAATAGAAGTATGTATAGAATGATTTCACACATATATGTATGTATATATATATATATATATATATATATAGACACACACACACACACACACACACACACACACACACACACACACACACACACATATCTATTTATGTCTAATGGTGGCCATCTCTAGGGCCAGGGCAGAGGGTAAGAGAGGGAAAAAAAAGACATTTATATAACTTTGTTATAAAAATAAAATATTTTTTTAATTTTAAAAAATAAAAATAAAAAAGAGAAGTAAACTCCATGAAAGCCTTTTCCCTGCTTTCATAAGCGACCTTTTTCACCTTAAGAGGAAGAAACCTGTTATAACAAATTCTGTATGTATTTTTAGTGTTCCCTTCAGGCAGGCCATTCTCCTTACCATCCCTTCTATACAACATGGTAATTCTCCACTACTTTTCTGAAGCAATCATGGAACCCAGAAATCATTCAATCCAAACTTCCCACTTTGCAAGTGAAAATGCTGAGGTGGAGGGGGGATAACAGAGTCTCCAAGACCATACAAAGATAACCCAAGAGCCAGGATTCAAACCCAAGTTTCCTTCCAAGCCATCCTTTGCTGTATCTCATCCCTCCTGTCCTTTTCTCCCAGGCCACCCGAAGCACTGCTATCTCCACCAACCAGACCCCTAACAATCTTTCCCACCTCTGAATCTTTAAAACTCTTGTACTGTGAATAACTGGCCATCTTACACCTCAAAGTCTTGCATTCCCCCTAATGTAAAAAAGTAAACATGAGTAATCCTTGTCAGGGAGGAAGACTGTGAGCTCTTCACGGGCAGCTTCCACGTCAGACACGCCGCCTGCCTCCTCCCTGTGCCCTCGCACGATCCTGAGCACGTGGGAGACCCTGAACAAGCAGCCACCGCTGATCACTGGCAGGTGGAAAGCCTTCTCAGCCCTGCACAGGGCACACTGACCATGGGCCAGCAGGACACTTACCACTTCTCCAGCAGAGGCAGCCAACATATGAGTCACTGGGACCAAGTATGATGATGATTCCATTCTCAATAAAAATTTTACATATTCATAGGTGATAAAAAATGCTGCAGCTGAAAGGGAAAACAGTCCAGTCACCAAGCTTGTCTTGATGCCAAGTTCTACACTTATTCACATCCTTAAAAAATATAACAATGCTGTCTACAGAGCACCCTGCCACGAGCAGCAGCTAGGTGACCCAGAACCTGGAGTCAGGAAGATCCGAGTTCAAATCCTATCTCAGACACTTACCAGCTATGTGACCTAGGGGAAGTCACTTAATGTTTGCCTCAGTTTCTTCAACTGTAAAATGAGGATAATAATATCACCTATCTCCCAGGGCTGCTTTGAGGATCAAACGAAATAATATCTGTAAAGTATTTCTCACAGTGCACGGCACACATTTAGGAGTACTATTATTATTATCAGGGAAACGTGAGGTCAAATTCCATCTAAGACACTTTGTGAAAAAGCAGCTAGCACGATGTCTGACACACAGTAGACAATACTATAGAAATGCTTCTTACTTTCCTATCCCCTTTCCCCACTGCACTACAAAATTTAGAGCCATGTGAAAATTCAGTGCCTGAGGATAAAAACTTAACTAATTAAAACAGCTTTTTGTGACTTAAGATGGCACCAAAGGAGATCACAGTTGTTGGAAATAGTAGAGAGTCAGTATTATGTCTTCTAACATCCTCATTTTAGGGATGGGGAACCCAAGGCTAAGAGGATGAAGGGATTTGCCCAAGGACTCTAAGTTACAAAGCTGGGAGCTAAGCCTGAGCCGCTCTGAATACGCAACTGGATCTTGAAGGAATCGAGACAAACTTCAGGCCTCTTTCCATCAATAACTGTTCAAATATGAACTATCACTGTCACTATAAAATTTTTTTTAAAATGATGCACTAATAATGCAGAAATCCAAAAGAGGAAACCTTTTGTTTTAATTAAGAATAAAGTTTATTCTTAAATGTTATAATGCAGATTTTTCAAGTTCATTACAGCTATTTTTATTAGTTAAAAGTTGAGTTTACACTATGGGAACAATAAATTACCTAACTGAACTTGAAACTAAAAACTGGACCAAGTGCCCGTCTCTCACAGGTCTGGCCCAGAAGGGCTTTGTGAGACACCTGTACTGTTAACACAAAATGATTATCACCTCCACACAGAGAAGAGACCAAAAATGAGAAAGAATGACAAATTTCTCATTTCTAAATGACATCTGAGCATGCAAATAGTCAATGATGCTTTTCTAGGGGCAACACACTGCCAGGAAGACTCAGAATTGCTGCTAAGAGGTCAATCCCTGGCAAAGCTCAGAGCTGTACAGATCCAAATCTAAGCAGTTCCTGGCGTGAATGCTCTCCTTCACTGTTCTCCTTGAAGTTGCCCCTTCTGACTCACTCACTGAATTAACCAAACTGTACAGACCGGCAGTCTACATTTTAATGCCTTTTGGTGAAATGGGATGCCGGTGACCCATTCTTCTCCAATAAAACAAAGAAAGATGACAGAAAACACTGACAAGCTCGTGGGTATTTTCCTGTTTTAAATAATTCTCCAACTACCCTTGAGACCTATTTTTGGTGCTACTTGAGCAGTATCTTCTAGGGGATCCCATAACAAAGTCCTTTCTGAACTTCAGAAAATAAACCCAATGATGGAGCTGAGGAAGGATTAACAACTGAATTTCAAGCTATGGGGAACAGAAGCCTGCATGGCCTTGGATAAGTCACTTATCCCTTTGTGTCTCAGTTTCCTTATCTGAAAAATAAAGGGGTTTTTCCTGGATGTCTCCAACTTCTCTTCTGCCTCTAAAATTCTTATGTGCTTCTCCTCCTAAATCCAAGCCTCTGGAAGGCAGGGATTTATCCAATGCACTGCTGAATGAACAATGAAAACCCTTGTGCACAGCTAGCACCCACCCCAGTGTCCTGCACATAACAGGCACCTGGTAAATGTTCCTTGGTGGCAGCAGCAGTGGGGGTGCTTGCGGCTCTCAAGATTTACCCTGAGCAAAGAAGACGCCCAGGTTTGGTTTTCTCCATCTTTATTGGGGAGGAAAGAAGGGAGCTTTATATAAAGCCACATCATTAAAACATCAAACACACACACACACACAAACACACACAGACACACATACACACTCACACACAGACACACACACAGACACACACATATATACACACGTGTGTTACTGAGGGCCCCCAAAAAGGTTTTATGTAGGTTATATCTATTGATATTTACCATATTATAAATTAAAATATTTAGTTACATGTTTATGCTTGTGTGTATATACACGTGTATGTGTATACCTACATACAATACATTTATTTGACCTTATTATATTCCTCACAGTTTATAGGACCACACTAGGCAGAGAACAGGTCTTTTGACCAACATTACATATTAAACCGAATGATGACTAGTGCAGCAAATTGTGCGGGCAATCCCAAAAGAAATCCCTCCTTCAGACTTCTAAGGCATTTCCATCATTTAAGGTAGGCCGACTGCCTATCTTTAAACAGTCAGATACAAGGCCTTTAAATGACTAACAGCTACAACTGGACACTGAAGACAGGAAATTAACTTGAATTTATTAAAGAGAAAGAAGGAGAGCATCAAGCAGCATTTGAGAACCTGGCCCAAGTTCTTGGTACCACTGGAAAGATCACTAAGCAATTAAAAGTTGGGAAAGTGGTATTATTAACAAGTGGCTGGGATGAAATAGGTGATATTGATCAGAGCATAAAGACCCCATGAAAGAACACAATACAGACTTTACACCCAAAGATGAAATCAAGAGACTATAAAAAGGCTATCCAGGAGAAAGCTAGCAGAAAAATGGTTAGGGCACCTCAGGCCAATTTAATTATGATCACTGAATTTAACACTGAAGGTTTTAATGCCTCTTGGGTTCACCAGCTGTACAGCAAGGAGTAAGAAATGGTAGTCAATATTACATAATGATAGTCAGCATTTATAGAGTACCTGTATGCGCCAGGCACTATGCTAAGCACTTTATAGTTATTATCTCATTTAATTCTCACAACCATCATGGGAGTCAGTAAAGACTGTAATGTTCTCTATAGGAATTAAACATATATATTCAATAAAAATAAAAACATCATTCCTATTTCTTGCATTATAAAAATAATGGTTCAAGATCCATGGCACTGACTGATTCAAAAATAATGGGGTGGGGAATAAAAAGCCAACCCATGCAACACATTACCCTGAATAGGTTATCATATGTGGGGCTGGACCCCCCGCCACTCTGAAAACAAAGTCCATTATCTCAGGCTTAAAGCAGCCTGAAGGCCGATGTAACTTTTACCATTAGGAAAGGATCCAACGGCCGCAGAAGGAACACCAGCGTAGATTCCTCGGAAACCACCAGCCTTTTTAAATCCTTGCGGACTCTGGAGTCTAGTTTTCATGGTATCCAAAGGAAATAGTATCAAGTCAACAGAGACACCTGCTACCCCTCCAGCCTTAAAGACAAAAGAAAAAACAAACATAAAAATGTTAAAAAAAAAATAAGCTAGAGGTAGATTTGAGGGCGGATGAGTAGGGGAGACGATGCTGTATCAGTCTAAACTTTGCAGTGCTTGGCACTTTCTTTCAGTGCTTGAAAATACGATTAATTAAGATCAAATCATTTCTAGTACCAATGTCTGGGCATTCTTCCCCGATCACACATGGCTATATACGATCAATTTATCTAAAGATGCTAGGGGCATACATTTTTCATTATGTTCCCCAGCCACTACAGAAGTCTCTCCAAAAGGCAGAACAATCTGAAGAAATATTTCTTCCTCCATCCCATAAACACAGAAAGCAGAGCCTACCCGACACATTCACTACCCTCTAACCCAAAGTGTGGTCTGGATTCCCATGGGGAGACCCAAGGCCTTTTCAGGAGATGTGTAAGGTCAAAACTATTCTCATCATAATGCTAAAATGTTATTTGTCTATTAAAATGCTCCTCTCTTTTGCAAGTACATATCCATGTGAGGCTGGATTTCCTTAATATACTTTAACAAAGACAATATATTGCAAGAGACTGAATACAGAAGCACATACGAAAATCCAGCTGTCTTCTATTAAGCCAGACGTTAAAGAGAATTGCAAAAATATGCAAAATGATGCTGCTCTTTAAATCAAATTAAATATCTGTAAGGCACTTAACACAGTGCCTGGCAAACAGCAGGCACTATCTAAATGCTATTCCCTCCCCTCCTCACTCTTCTTGCTAATTTTTTGTTTTGGCAAACATTGTTATTTTTCATAAAAATAAGTGAACATGCAATAGATTTATTACTATTGTTTTTAAATGAAATAACTTTTTTAAATGTATACAGTTTAATTCCTATATGGTAAACATTGCTCAATATAACCCTCATAAATGAGAGCTCTTTGGAGTTCTCAATAATTTTTAAGAGTATAAAAGTCTCGAGCCCACAAAGTTCAGGAACCACAGTTCTGACTCATGGCGCCTGCCATCTAATCTCTCTTTTCCTTTTTTTTCTCCTTCCTTCTAGTCAACAGTCCCCTCCCTCCTTTTTTACTTTTTAGTCATCCATTAAAGTTTGACACAAATTTCACTCCAGTCTCCGCAGGATTTTCTAGGACTTGTTCTGCATCCCACAGGCAGGATGTGAATCCAGGTTTTCCAGCCAAGTCCAGCACTCTGCACACCCTAACACTCAGGCTAGGCCATCTAATTTACTCTGTGCCACACAGATATATATGGAAGAACGTCAGTCAGGCCTGAGGATGGGGGGTGTGCTTTCTAAACTTTCTACCCTCCTCTGCCAAGCCTCACTGCACTTTACAAAGGCTAAGCACCAAGCCTGGGTTCAATGTTAGAACAGATGAGGCTGAGCAGACAGTGGATGTGAAGCAGCAGCAGACAGTCAGAGCCCCAGCCCCATCTGTCAGTTCCTTTAGGGAAGGGGGTAGGGGTGGAAGGATAGAAGCGGTTGATACTTTTTGGTAGCCAGGACACTGCCAGGCTCTTCTCTCTTTTTCTTGAACAGGATGCCTGCTTCCACCCTTTCTAAAACTGAATTTCAGAGCCTGCCTCTGCTTGCAGACCTTGGCCCCCCACTTCTTCTGGGAAGCAAACTCCCACATCATGGCTTCCCAAACTTGGTGTACTTGGACACTTGCAGCAGCTGGCACTGCCCGGGCTTCATCAGGTTCTTAGTTATCCTGTGAGCCTTAGGGAGAGAGTGGCTATGCCCGTGATGCTACTGGCACCCCAATGGCAGCAAGCAGCCAACAGGACCACCTGAACGATGAGGGGTGTGGCCCTGAGGAATAACGTGAATGAAGCAACACTCTGATATTAAATATGTATGTTTCAATGTGTCTCACCAAAGATATCAATTTCTCTTAGTTCAAACGTATATTTGGGAACATGCATTTCAGAATAGAGTCCATGTTTTGAAAAATACTGATACTTTAATCATTCGGGATTCTAATGCTCTGTTGAAAATGCACATGGCACATCAATTAAACCAAAGAGCCCTGTATAATCACATCTAGGTACCACTCCAACAATCTTGGAACTTTAGACTACAGCCTCACTGGAATACTAGCCTAAATAAGTTCTTAGGTCACTCCAGGAGAGTCCACTGGTGGGCTGCAAACAGCAAAGACCCCTTGTCCTCAGCCAAAACTCCCTAAACCACCCAGTCAGAGAAGAGCTCTGGAGACAACTGCTCATAACCCATAGCACAGAACCACAGGAGCATACCAGGAAGAAACGCTAAAAAGTCTGAGGATGTCAACATATAATTTCCATACTAGGATGGCCTTTTTTTGGTCACCAAAAAATTTCACAGAAAACATCTCAGGAGCAGAAACGGTAACTGTTACCTAATTCTTCTCTTCTGAAACGACCATCACTGATTGTATAGAATGGAAACAAAACCAAATACTGAAAACCAAATTTATTCTTTCTGTTTCTTCATTTTCCCACAAAATAGAGATATCTGCTTTTACTATAGATAAATGGCAAGGATAGGAAAAAAAACAAAACCAAAAGCGATCTGGCATGGCTGGAGCCTTTAAAAAATGCAGCACTTAATTCTAATTTTCTCTTTAATCTTAGAAGAGGGTTCAGAGAGATGTTTGCTATCTATTTCTAAAGTTTTAATCAATAAGTTAATTACTCTTTTAATCTATTTGGCTACTTTGCATGCATTGATTTTTCTAACCTTCCCTTCATCAGAACTCTTATCTTCTCAGTATAAAATTGATCAGATTTAATCTAGCTATCTAGTAAAACATGAATCAAAAGTTACTAATTGCTTCTGTGGATTTCAAACTTCTATGATATAAATTTCATTTAAATTCATGAAGCTAGAAAAATCAGCTAGCTCAGAACCTGCAGGATAGCAAGAATATGGCCCTATTTTCCCTATCATCCCCCTCTCTCTTTCTCCCTCTCCCTGACCCCCCCCCAGCTCTGAATTGTAGATAAGAAGTCTCTTGGGAGCTCTTATACCATCAGTAGTGCTACGGGAGGGGTCTGAGAAAATTCACATTCAGTAATGTACTCACGGAATTTGCTTCTGTAACCAAGAAATCAATACCTCATACTTTCCTTTAAAATGGCTCAAATATCATTGGATGAAATACAAAGAAGTTCCATTTAATACTGCAAGCCAAAATGTTAACTGATGTTTATGTAAACTTAGTTATAAAAATCATGTCAAACATTAATATAAACTGTCAAGTCACGGAAAATCATCTTTCCTCTAAAGAGTTTGCTTTGTTCATGGACAATTAATTAGCACGAGGTTATCAGGCAAATAATTGCTTTCAGTATTTATGGTACCCCACAGACGAGCACCAGATTAATGATGTGCGGATGCAGGGACAGGCAACTAGCCATGGGAACACCTTGATGACATCGGCCTTCTAGAGACACAACTCCAGACGGTCTTAAATTCCTAAATCAGAAAAGTCGAGACACTCTAAGTATCTAATTAGCACTTTTTTTTTTACATTAAAATGCTGACAGAGTAGGAAAAGCCGGCACAACAATAATCAGAGAAAGTGGGAAAAGGGAACGCTAATTGTTTACCTTTTAATGAGCGGAAAATAACAGAGCCGTCTAAGTCAAACAGGCAAATTAACACATTTCCAGGTTCTCTCTGCAATCTTCTGATTCAGCTCCCTTTCCATTCTGACCCGTGGTCTTGTCTCTCTGACCCAGCATCACACTCTGGCCAATCCAGGCCAGAGTTTCATGCTAATTGAATTCAAGTGCATTCAGAAAGAGTGGTCACTTTGCTTGGCAAGGAAATGCTCTGGGAATGAGAGGGTCTGCTAGGTATGGACAGGCTGGGGAAGGTGTCTGTGGGCGATGCAGACTGTTAGGACCGGGCTCCTTTTCCCAGTAGGATAGGGCTAGGTAGACAAACCGCCAGAACGGCGGGTGATCCCAGAGGGCTACTGCAAGCACCAAAGGAATTCTGCCAAGCTTTTATCCTGAGCTAACATGCTCATGATGGGTACATTTGAAGGTACCTGGTGTGCTGACCCAAGGTCAGTGCATTTATTGATTGCCTTTAGGTAACAGTGGAAAACCACAGACTTTTAATGAGAGGATTCTACAGCTCTTCCTAGTGATCACCCTTTGTGACCTCCATTTAAATTGTCTGACACCCCCTTCTTCTGGATACTGTCTCCTCCCTGCATTTTCAGAAAGCTGCCCCCTCTCCTAACTCTTGTCCTCCCTGGCTGAACCCCAGCTCAGTCTCCTTTGCTAGACCATAGTTCACGTCCTAACCCTAAGTGCTGCCTTGGGTTCTCTTCTTTTCTTTTTCTATACCCCCTTTCTTGGTGAGCTCATCCATGGCTTCCATGATCATTTCCATGCAGATAACTCCCAGATCAAAAGATCCAGTCCTCTGCTTTCCCAAGCTTTAATCCCAAGTTACCAAATGTTTTTTTGTTTTGTTTTGTTTTGTTTAGGCAATTGGGGTCAAGTGACTTGTCCAGGGTCACACAGCTAGTAAGTGTCAAGTGGGTGGTCTGCGGCTGGATTTGAACTCAGGTCCTCCTGACTTCAGGGCCGGTGCTCTATCCACTGCACCACCCGGCTGCCCCCCAAGTCACCAAATGAACGTCCCATAGGCAACACAAATTGAACATCCTTCCCCTCTCCTCCAAACTTCCTCGTTTCTGTTTAGGGTCCCACCATCTTTATAGCGCCCTGGGTCTGCAACCTCAGAATTATCCTCAACTCTTCCCCCCACACCCCATCCCTATCCAATCAATAGCCAAGTCTTCTTGATTCAATCTTCAAAACATCCTTCCCTTTCTCTCTGTTTTGCTGGTTACCATACTCTTCAAGCCTGACCAACACAACAGCCTCCTCCTCAGTCTCTTCCCTCTCCAATCCCTCCTCCACACAGGTACGAAAACAACACTCCTAAAACACAAGTCTGATCTGTCACTGCCCTGCTCCAGAACC